TTTTCCGGTAGCTCTTATTAATCGTGCTTGACAGTTGGTGCTCATATGATAAACGAAATTCTGAGCAAATTTTTGCAGCTTTCATGTTTTTTCCAAGCTCTTTCAAGAAAGAATAATTCTTCCGCAATAATGAGCCCATTTTTTTCCACAGATTACCAAGCTTTGGACGAATGCACAGTGCTTTCTGGAACTACATCATTAGTAGACGCTCAATGTATTCGGGACTGGCAAATTCTTTAAATAAAACTCAAACTGCTTGCTATTATTTTCATCTAACCCAAGTTGCGAGTTTCATCCTCACTCACATTATATTTCAAATTGCTGGTCTGAGATGGCGCAAAAGAAGTTGACGAATTCATATCAAAACAGAGCACATCATATGCTTAACGCCCTGAGCTGTTTCGCAGGATAAATAAACAGATTTTTTCAATATACTATAAAATGAATACCAATCCCGAACCAAACTGATGTTACGGGGCTTTTGATGCTACCTAGACTTGGTCATATGTCAAGCAGTGACTAGGGTTTTTGATCTGAGTAATTGGCCTCCAGTTGTGAATCTGGCACCGAAAACAGTAATGGTAGATAATTAATGAACAACAGTGATTAAAGAACTGGAAATATTAACAGTGATAAACACTGTTAAGACTAGGATTACAATAATAATCGCTACATTAAAAATTACAGACAAGTGTTAAATTATAAACACAGTAATAATTTATACGTAAGTGGTCTACTACTAACAATAACAGTAACAGCAATGCTTATAATAATAATAGTCCTAATGAAAACAATAATAACATTAGTAATAATAGTAATAATAATGATAATGATAATAATAATAGGTGAGCGTAGAGATGTAATCACAACAACAAACTTTCAGCAGCACATAACTAATGGCAGATTCTTAAGCGTAATAATTTTTATATTTCTAGCTTAATAAAATAACATTAATTTAAAAAAAAAACAAATAAAAACGTACCAGATGAAAAATTAAAAAAATACTATTTTTAAGTATTTAAAAAATAACTGTTAAAAATTATAACTGTAGTAACAATTACTGTAATTATTGCTATAATTATAATAATTACCGTATTACTAGTGGTAATTATACAAATAAAAGCAATAATGATGATAATATTGATGGCAGTAAACGAGATGCTAGTTTCAGGGTGGCCATTGCATGCTGTAATTGCTGATCTGATCGAACAGCTTGGTTACACAGTGAGGGATTTCTATATGCTGGATGGAGGGGTCCGGTTACATATGGTACCTTCCTGGGCAATTCATGTGTTCATTGTTTGTGCCGTTCTTCTGCTGCTAGCTGTTTTCATGGAGTGGTATGTGGTCAGGCGGAAGCTGGTTAAACGAAGCATCAACGGCATGCAGCCAAATTTCGGGAAAAGCAAAACACATATTATTTTTTATTAGTAAATCGAGTGCTGCCGCGCACGTTCCACGGCCAATTTTCACAAATTTGCTGTACGCACGAAATGCGCGAAGAAACTACAGGGATTCTTGACAATACTTTACACGCAGTTTTTGAGGCTGACCAACCAATAAAAGATAGTGATAACTCATGGCAGTGATGTGTATGTCCACGTTTAATCAGGCTCTGACATGAAGAAGCCGAGGGGAAAGTTGTAATTCGGCCGATGAAGAACAGGGAAAACTGATATTGTCCAGAACAACAACAGATTAAACCTCATAGGATTTCTCAAGCGGAATTTTCAATTATATCACGATACAAAGCATTGAAATCTGATATCAGATTATTGCTCAACAATGAAATCGTGGATTTGCATTTGAATTCCAGTTGCTGCTTTCTGTTTCCTGCAATTCCGAATTTCTAGGGCCAATTTAACCGTACATATGAGGGAATTACGCTTAATTGTGTTTATAGCTGTGATTTTGCGGCAGAAAAGTGCTTCGTAAACATGGAACCTTTTGAATTTGAATTATCGACTGTACAAAAACTCCGGCTTTATTGTTAGGCAAAGGGTATACGGGAGACACCCAGACGGTGGAATCGAACCACTCCGTCGCTAGACGGCTACAGGTTTGAAGCCTGCACCCCGGACCACCGAGGATCGCCCGGGCACCAACCGTTCCCACAGGGCCCATTAATATAGGACATGGTACAAAGTGCACTTCACAATGAGTGGCTTCCATCCAGAAAATGACACATGTCTGGATACCTCCACCAATGCAACAGTCTTCTTCATCAACGTCGCCTTTTCACTAGCCTCAATTAAAGAATGCTTCCTTTCGCAAATCTCCATTTCTTTCCGCCGCTAATGCAGCTTCCTTCTCGCCAGTGCCATCGAAGAAAAAGGAGGAGAGAATAGAGGAAATAACAGGAAGGGGAGGGGAAGAGGAACGAGGCGGGGTGGGGGAGCAATTAATAGAGAGAGGTCGAATATATTTTACGATGAAAAAATCTTAATGAGGTAAAAAACCCAGGCTGGGATGCACTAAGCTTGCCGGTGCAACCATGTGCTTTTGCACCGGACTTGAAGTATTCAGGTTATTAACTGGATGAATGTTTGATGCTCTACACCTATCTTTTGCGTCCACTAACGTTAATCATCATAAAATTTTCATAAAGGAAATGAACAATTCCCATTTAACGGTTCTTTGAAAATGACATAGCCGTTCAGTGAGCAACTTTCTCGCCAACTCCTAAGCGCACACACTTAGAGGCTGAATTTGAAATCTTTAAGTCGTATTTGGACAGAGAACATTCCCCTAAAACACCAGTTTTCTAGTTTTTTTGGTTCCCGAGTTAATAATTTTTCAGCCAAAACTTCCACAAGTTTGCGCGTGAGTACCACGCATACCGAGGGTTCAATTTGAAATCTTTAAGATGCACGCGATTGGCGAATATACCCTTAAAATTTCAGCCTTCCGGTTTTCTAGTTGTCGTGTTTGCAATTTTCTCAACAAAACTTTCGCGTGCCTGTACATGAAAGCCATGCACATTCAAAATGCACAGAGAATATCCGTGCAAGGTTTCAGCTGTCTATTCCTTCTGATTCCTGAGATTGCTTTTCCGCCAAAAAATCGCACATTTTTTTTAAAAGGCATCCGTAGGCAGCACCCAGGCGTGCGCGGATGTTCGTATTAAAACGGGGGGATCACAAATAGTGTGGGCAATACTCCCGAAGTTTCAGCCTTCTAGCTTATCTGATTCTCGAATTGAAAGTAGATGACAAAAAGTGCGAACACACAGCCTCTTTTACGCGTTTTTGCTTTTACATATATGCAAAAACGCAAAAGAACGAGAATGCAGAATGTTGATTTTCGGACGAAAGTTTACATAATTAAGGAATTGGATTTTTTGCAGCTTTACATTACTTGCCATCACACTTGAGCGGTTGAAGCAATTTTAATAACTGTTTGAGCACCACCTTTATGATTTTTACTTTTGACAATAAATTTGCATGTACCATATATGATTAAGCTAACAATAAATCAATTATTAGTTTCACAGGGAAGGAAAATAACAAGGCATACTTACGAGGCACAATGGAAGTAATGTAACCGAATTTCGACAATGGCAAATTTCAAGAAGCATATGAACGAAAGGCATGCACCGTGAGCGATGTACAATTGAAAAATTTGCTGCAAAAAAAAATTTACAGAAGTCAACAACGCGCCACCATCACACTAACCACACATGCGACCGGATGGATAATGCTAACCTCCCCTTCCCCTCTCCCCTCTCCTCAGGCGTACAGAACGTCGATTTTAGGTCCTCGGATCCACCTCAAATGCACCGGGAAATGCTCGTAAAATTTCAGCTGTCTAGCTTCTCTGCTAAGTTGAAAGTGTTTGACAAAGTTTACCCACTCACACATAGGCACACACTGGTAAACCTCTTAACAATATGCGCTTAAATGCACAAAAACTGACAAAATATCCTGAAAAATAATTATCTTTAGTCAAAAATGAGGCATAAATTAATTTTGTATTTATGTATATCATACAACGACCTTGCGGTCGCCTCCAGAGGTAGCCGCAGCTATCTAACAGGACAGTAAATGCCCCCTGCAACGATCAACTACTGCTACATCTTATTCTGTATAGAGTGAGGAGCATAGCAGGTTGTCTGAAGGAAAATAAACGCGATAAAAGCACTTGCAAATTTCCCAAAAAAAAAAAAAAAAATTAAACAGAAACTAATGCCAGAAATAAGAATATTGCACAGCTTTCACAAAATAGTAATATCGTTTCAGTAAATTCAAAATATGTCCCAAAAAAATAACTGACCTGAGTGATATAACAGAAATATTCTCAATGGCGATATCGGTGGCATAAATTTTATCACCAAAAAAAAAAAACATTTTTTGGACTGAGAAATGTTATTAAATTAATAGCCTAGTTCTATGGCTCCTGAGTAACTCAAAAAAAACCCATTCCTCAACATACCCGCCAAATTCCACCCGCTTTTTTTGGTTAAATCTTGAAAATCCTTCTTCCCATCAAGCACGTGTACACAAGCAGCTACAAAAAATAATTTCTGACTGATAAGTTACATGAGGAGTTTACAAAATAAGCAGCATACAGACATCTTTGGTATGAATAATATACATAAAGAAATGCCTAAAACAAGCAACAATACCTAAAACAAATAATGAGGTGAAACTTTCTGCCATTTCTTAGCATTTTCTGAAAATCATCATCAGGATTGCCAGCAAGCTAAACACTAGGAAATGCAGCACTGGTAAAGCAATCGAGAAAATTGCCAGCTGCGTAGCCGAAAAATCAACCTTTGACTTATATTTTGCCCAAAATTACTTTTAATAGTCGATAATTCACATGAGAAACCTATTATAATATCCTAGAAATTCCACTATAATATTTTGCTTGCTACGAAAATATGAAAAAAGATCGAAATAGCAAATAAGTAGCGCCTTGCTACTTTAAAAAAAAAAAAATCTCTCAATGATAACTTTCCTACAAAAGCTGCGCGATTTCTTTGGTTTAAGAAAAAAAAACGGGAAAAAAAAGAGACCAAATGATAGATTCATTACTGCTGAATTCCAAGGCAGAATAATGAAAAATATTCATTTCTAAAATACCCAGCGCTACGGTACAAATAAATTTGAGCTGCTCGATCACTGAAGCATACTGTTTTCTGAGTTCGTGAATTTTTGCTGCCGTCGTGCAATTTCGCGGTTAATTTCTCGCCGAAATCGCTCATATTTGATGGCAATATCGATGCCTTCCTGTTTGTACAGTTTCATCAACTGACTGTCAAATTGCTCTAACTGCGAAAGACGGAACAGCGGCCACTGAAACATGATTATGTAGCAGAAGCATGAAACATTCCCAAATTGTTTAGTGAAAACTGCACCCAAACTGAATAGATTAAACGTAAACAGTAAATACGAAGCGGTGCCGGTGGTCGAAGAAAAACCGCAACGAAGGCTTCCTTTTTCTGAGCAAACTCTGGAATCCCCGAGGTGGGAAAGAAAAAAAATGCATTTGACAGTGGATAAGAGCGAACCAAACCGAAAGTTAAGCGGGAAATTTAGTCCGAAGCAAGATTCGATTACAAGAATAAAAATCTGCCTGAAAAAACGGGCAAATTCAGTTCTTGGGAGGGAAATTTTAGCCCATGAGCAAAATTTACCTAAACAAGTGTATGTTTGAACAAAACTGCAATTAAATGATTGATTACATACTAAAATGAAAAAAAAAATTCAAGGCCAAAACTGTTAAACTGGTTGACAAGGGCGACTACGATAAGCAAAGGAAATAAAAGGGCCAAGGAAACTGAAGCATATCGTTCATTTTGAAAAGCTCGCTATAGTGGGGTTTCAAGATAGCAACACATGCAACTGCAGCGATTACTTCTGACGGACATTAGAAAAAACCTAGTTCCAACAAAAAAATAGATAGAGACGCGTACCAGGGTAGCCGTGCGTGTTTTGCGCAGTTCCGTCCAGCGAACGTTTGCCTACTAAGGATTTTCACTGCTTTGCAATTTGGTCTTTGCAAAAACAGTTGAAATGTCGTCAGGTTCCTAAGTTGCGGAATTTCCCACTGAAGCCTTGTACAGTAAACATCCTTCCAAAATCAACCCCCTAATTTTCTGGCTTTTGAGTGATTCCCGAGCCAAAACTTTTATGTATTGGTGCGTGAGACCTCGGATTATACTTGGGAATTAAATTTGAATTTGTGTGGCACTGCATAGGCAGAAAACATTCTCCTGCAATCTTCAGCCTCCTACCTCTTTTGGCTTCAGGGCAATAATTCTTTCCACCAAAACATTCACAAGGACGTTGAGACTCAGGCGTACGTGAAAGCTGAATGTGAATTTGCAGGACCGCACGTGAGCAGAGGACAATAACCTAAAATCTCGGCTTCCCAGCTTTCGTGATCCCCAAAATAACTTCCCCCACCAAAACTTTCACAGAGTCGTA